ATCACAAACGAAATCAAGACATCATCCCCTATTCCCTAGCAAATTGATTTTACCTACTCATAATCGAACAATAAATCAATCATAAAAATCAAAGCAAACCTATCTATGGATTAGATGTATAGAACAAACTTACAATTAATGGAAATTGAATGTCGAATCCGATAAACAGGATTAATCCAAAAGTAATAGCGAAAATCGAGTTCAAATATTCGTTCTACGTACCAAAATATGAAGAGAATGAAGAAAAGAGAGTAAAACAATGGAATGTTCAAAACCTAGCATAAGACATAAGAAAATTTGACGATCAAAGAATCTGTTCTTTTAAAATTTGCTATCGCGCGCCACGCGGTCGCGGAGAGGCTCAAGGGGATGCGGTGAAGAAGAGATTCGCGGCCGCGATTCTTCCAGAGGCTGCGAGTTTTGAGAGGCTGAAGTCTGGGACTGCTGGCACTCGTTGATCGTCGCGGTAGCAGTGAAGGAGTAGTCGCGGCCGCGAAAGAGGAAATCTGGCGTGCTGGGAAACTTTGCAGGGTGCCGCGGCATGGTAGGCTTGCCGCGACGCGAGGGATGGCTTCTTCACGGCGTGCAGGGACATCACGACATGGCAGGGGAGGTCTTCCCAGTGCAGGGGGATTTCTGGCACGGCGCGGCGGGATTGATGTCTCGCGGCGAGGCACCAATGCACGACGGAGAAGAAAGCTTGGTCCCGGAGCTGCTCTACTGCACGCTCGCGTACGGTGCTGCGATGTCAGATGGCGAACGGACGCCGACGATGCTTCTCGTGGCGATTGGAAGGACTTCGGGCCGTGGTGCATGGTGAGTCGCATGTTCCTTATATTGCTTCATGTCCCGGGCTTGGTCGCACTTGTTTGGAAACGAAATCTGGTTATGTGTTCTCCGGTGTAATGGTGACAAACCATACTACAAAAGTGTGTTTACCAAGGTAATTTCCTCCCCCATATCAAACGATCACCTTCACAACACTCAAGGCGACAAAAACGAAGAAACCAAAGAAAATAACTGAAAAAACACAAAAGACTATAAAAAGATGAAAACACACGACGAGAGATAAAACAGACCAAAACCAAAAGAAAAACATCAAATGGGGGAAAAAGAAAAGAAAAATAATCACGAAAAACGCAACAAAAATGGGACAAACATATATATAAAATAAATAAATTATATTTATCTTTACAATAATCAATAAATATTTATTAAAATTAATTAAAAAATAAATTATTTCTCAATTAATATATTCATGTTTAATGTAATATATGTTATAAGTTAGAAAAATTATTATGATATAACATATTTAAGTCGCACATGTAATAAGTGTCATACTAAAATATATAATAATATATATATATATATATATATATATATTTATAATAAATATTTAAACTATTTTTTCTCATTAATTTTAAATTTTAAAAGAAAATTTAGCAAACACCCGTTCAATACATAATCGTTGTACTAGTTACAATAACATTTGAATGTTTTATATTAATTTTTTTTGAATTTTTTTTTTATAAATTAATATGCATAATTAAAAATATTAATAAAATACATGGCTGTTAGGGGTGTTCACGGTCTGGATTGATCCAGTTTTAGCAAAAATCATGACCAAACCGGACCTAACGGTTAATTTTTTTCTTGTCCATAACCGGACCGATTTTATTTTTTTAACCGGTCATAAACCGGACCGCATTGGACGGTCCTGTTCAACGGTTAACCGGTTAAATCCAAAATCCCTGTTTTGGGCCTTCAATTTTTTTTTTTCATTTTGGGCTTAATTTTTATTTTTCAATTTTTGGTCCAAAAGAGATTATTTGAGCCTAAAAATTAAGAAAAACAACAATAATGAAATAAAAATACACAATTCGTCCAATAAACATAAAAATACACATTTTGTCCCATAAACATAAAAATACAAAAATAATGAAGATTAAATTATGCAAACTGAACCCAAACAAGCATTCATTTTTCAGTCAGTTTATACACTTGAAATAATAAGAGCAAAGTGAAAGTAAATGTATTGTATTTGTCGACCATAGTTAATGACTGAATGTATATATATATATATATATATATATATATATATATATAGGGTCACGCTCCGGTGAGAATAGTGCTCTAGGAAAGAAATAAGAATACACCGTAGCCATTAGATCCAATCATCAAACGACTGAAATAAAACCAGAATTTTACATTGATTAAGGGCTTTACGGTAATTTAAAATCATATCAAAAAGTCCGCCTACATTAATAATTTGCCAACCAACCCCCACGTCAACTTGTACACACATTAAACACACACGTTTATCTCTCTCTTGCTCTGTTACACATTAAACACGCACACACAAACAGAAACACACACCTATACACGCACCTCCCCACACACACACCCGCGGGTGCCACACCCAGCTTCGCCTCAGCCGCCGCCTTTCTCCGCCGTCGTCGTCCACCTGCAAGTCGTCGCCGTTTACTTCCGCCGCCGTCGTCCACCTGCAAGTCGTCGCCGTTTACTTCCGCCGCAGTCGCCCCCTACATTTTCCAATTTCGCCCCTCACCCTCTTCACGAGTCTTCTTTTCAGGGGACCGTCGCCAGTTTTCAGAGGTCGAGACGGCATCTCTTCCACCACCACGCGCCGCCGGTTTTCCCACTCTCTGTGGTGGTTCACCTCAATTCACCGGCGAATGAGGCAACGAGGGCGGCGTTTCGGTTTCAACCAACACCTGTCGCTCGGGCCGTCGTTCGAAGAGTTATACCCTCCACCGCCGCTCGTCGCCCTTGAACAACTCCGGCCGACGCTGTGAACTCGCAGTGAATCCGGCGGCTGGGGCAGTGCGGTCGGGCGGAAGTCTGCAACCTGTGACGAAATTGCACGGCTAGGGGATGAAGGAAGCGGCTGACAGCGGGGTTAGATTAAGATAGGCGGGCAACGTGCAATTGAGGGATGGGAGTGATGTATGTTAGGGACGTTATTTTGAAAATTTGACAATATCTAGGGACTTAATTGCAATTGTAGGTATTGTAGTATATTTGATTTTGATTCATAGGTTACATGTATAATTTATTGAAGTTTTAATATTTGTACAATAATGTTTAGTGAAATGCATCAAGAATGCACATTAGCAAATTAAATAGTTTTTTATTAATTTTTTTAATTTAGTACATATATATAAAATATATTTTTTATACTAAATAATTTTGTAATTTATAAAAAATATTTAAATTATAGTACAAGTACATAATGTTGTACATAGGAATCGTAGTACATATATATAAAAAAATATCGTAATTTATAAAAAGTATATAAAAAATATTATTATTTTTAATACATATATGTATTATGTATTTAAATCTTTTTCAAATAAAAAAAATTTAAAATATTAATCAAAATATTTTATACTAAATAATTTGATAATACAAATAATAAATACATTTCTAGATTTTAAACAGTAAATTATTTTGATTCAATTATAGTGTAGATTTACAAATAATAAAACTCATACTGCAAATTCAGAAGTTCACATTACTGACTATCAGACTGCACGATAGTGCTCAAACCAATGCACATTAGTTCGTTCAAGAATGCACAATACCATAACAATGTGCATTTTTACAAATAGATAAAATTTCGTTAGTTCGGTCCATATTCGACTTTATTTATTACACAAGAAAAATAAACAAATAAAATAACCGGACGAGCTATATAAAAAACATTATTTTTATATTCTGTCTATAGATATACATTATTTTGTTCAAAAAAGTAATAATATAAAATATTAGACAAATAATTATACATAGCAAATGAAAAAATAAATAGTTTAAAATAATATTATTTAAAAATATTAAATATCAAATTTTTAGGCTAATTAAGTTAACAAATAAAACAAACCAATTATCCTACTTCGGTTTTAATTCTGATTGGATACATCAGTAAAATGCACGTAATTCAAATGCACACTTATGTTAGACGGATTGCACATTATTAATTGACAAACTGAACAATAACTTGACTGAGCTAAATTTGTTATTTGAATTTTTATAGTTTGGTTCGATTATCTATTATATCTTTTTAAATTTTGATTATTCCAGCTCGATGTTGGCATTATTTTTTTATAATAAACGGATTAACCGCCCGAGTGATATAAAATATACATATAAAAAATAATAAATAATAATATCCAATACTATATACGTTTAATATTATAAAAAAAATATTATAGTTTTTTAGATTGTTTTCTATATTATTTATTTCACTAATAATATTAATATAAAATATTAAAAATACTAAATATATTTTTAGTATAATAATAATTTATTAAGATACTAAATAATAATGCACACTAAAAATGTAATCGTATTTTTACGAATTTACATAATTATCGTCGCCTACACATTTAAAAAATCGTAAAATGTGTTGAATGTCATTGTGATTCAAATTACACAATCGCATTAGACTAAGTGCACAATAATGATAATCCGAACGCACAATAGCTTAATATAAAAGAAAAAAATAATTATCTTGGTTTGCCACCAATGAACAATACTAACGGATGGCATTTAGCAAAAATTATAAACCGAATATATGATTTCATAAAGCACAACATTATTTTTTATGTGACTTGTTGACACATAGTATTGTGCAATCTATATAATATTAATGTGCATATATTAAACTTTTAAAAAATTACAAAAGCACCACATACTAAATTACAAGATACTAATAGGTCAAAATTGCATCCAGGACCTTATGAAATATCTAATTTTCAAAATAAGCCCTCATCAACCAAAAAAAAAAGAAGAGAAAAAGAAGTCACGCCTGTAACTTCATATCTCGCACTCAACCGCCGCCCTCGACCGGCCGACCATCGTCAACAACCACATAACCGAAAAACAACAGCTACCAAGAAAAGTCCGGCCTAGACCCTGCCGGTCACCATGTACGACCATGGCATCGCAATCGGCGGCGAGCTCGTCCCTCATGGAGTTGGATGGTCGATGAAATCAAGGCTTCCTACGGCGACGGTGTTGCAACAGTAAACGGTGGAGGTCACGGTGGCGGCAGTGGGCGGACCACTGGTCGCGATCTTCGACGGTGGCGGAGACGGCTGGTACATTGGCAGAGGCGGCAGATCTATGTGTCGGTGGCTGAGAGAGGGGAGACTGCATATATGTAATGTGACAGCGAGAGGTCTGGCTGGCGGCGGGAGATGGGGACCGCGGTGAGAGGTGGGGACGGCGGTAGGCGACGGGGTTGGGTGTTGAAGGTGGCAGAGACGTGGTGGTGCAACTGTGTGTGTGTGTGTACATAGTGTGAGATCCTGCGTATGCCTCGTATGTGTGTGTGTGTGTGTGTGTGTGTGTAAATTGGGTGAGGTGTGTGTATTTGTGTGTGAGAGAGAAGGAATGGGAAGAGTTGGGGTGGGGAAGGTGACGGGCAAGTTGGGTGTGGGACCCATGTTTGGTGGTGATTGTGTTTAATGACAATTTTATCCTTAATTAGGGTCAAATGTGTACATTTGATCATAATGTGTATGTTAAATTACCACATTGCCATTAATGATTGACCATATTTTGACTTCATCTTAACCATTGATATGGTGTATCCAATGCACCAAATTCATTCTTATTTCTTTCATATAGCATCATTCTCATTTGATCCTAACTATATATATATATATATATATATATACTTGTTATAGTTTCTAATATTTACCGGTCTAGTCCGGTTAAATCAACAGTTTGCCGCAGGTAATGGATTTTTAAAAAATTAACCACCAAACTTTTAAGGTTTTTTTAATTGACCATTTAACCGATCCCCGGTCCGGATTGAAAGTGGACAACTAAGACCCTGAGTACACGTGGCCCCCATTAATTGGCTCCGTGCGGTGTCACAAATTCTAACATCAGCATCTCTCCTCGGCAGCTCAATAAATTAAATTCAAGGATTTATCGATTAGATATGTGAAAAGCTCTGCTCGATTTCTCACTGGTTCGTATGAATTTCTTCGCTTATTCTGAGTATTTCAGATCTACCATTTTTTTTTTGTTTAATTTCGTCGATGTGTTTCGAGTGTTTCAGATCTGTTTAACCGATGTATATGTGTTCTTGCTTTTCGTTGATGTGAGCAGCCGTGGTTTCAATTTTGTTATTGGGTTAATTAATATATTTGTTGAATTCCCGAAGAATATCTGTTTTTGTCTTGTTCGGAAATTGACAAAGTTGGATTATTGGCATATATCTCGCTCGGAGTTTAGATCTGTTTTCATGGTATTGGCTTTGGTTTGATCGTGTATTCGTTTGTTGTAGTAACAGGGACCTGATTTACTTGAGCTCCCTTTGTTATCATATGTTAGCACTGTGATCTGTGGCTGGTCTTGTTAATAATTACTGAGATTCATGTTTTGATATAAGGGTTTGGTATTATTTCATATGACATGAGTAAGATCTCTTGGAATTTGTATCATTCATTACTGAGCATAACAGGAAACATCAAGAACCTATTGCGATTTTTTTTCTTTATTATTCGACTGAATGAGCTTTTGAAATTTAATAGCAAATTGGATTTACTGCATTCTTTGCATATCTAAAGACTAAAGTCATTTGGAAACTACTGTTGAATTGTTTATGATCCTGAGAACTCATATTTACTTACTCTAACTTGCAGCTTGAAATAGTTAGTTAGATTGAAGGAAAAAAATGGGAGGTGGGTTTAGAGTGCTTCATCTTTCCCGGACCTTTCTTTTCGGCTGTCCAATCATGCACACTTACTAATCCGTATATTGCCTTAAATAAACCGAACAAACTACCGCCGGAACGACGTCGTGTCTGGCTGAACCCAAACCTAAAAAATTCGAGTCAATTGGCCCCTCTCGGAGAAAACAGCAGAATCGACTTATCTTGGTCGAAAGCTCAGGTGCGTATGTTTATTTCTGTTTTTCATGGGAACTTATCTATAACTAGAGTTGATATGGAAGAACATGCTTGTTATAGATAATTATCTGGGCTCCTGTGCGCTTTGATAAGCCTATCCATGGAGAAATCTAAGTCAGTCTCAAATTCGTGGAGTGTGGTGTAATGTTTATGCAGTTTTAGCCCCTTTTTTTTCTTGATTTTAATACTGTAAGAATTCGTCAACCTGGTTTCTTTTTTAGGGGGGTTATTGCCATTTGGGTGTATACTGATCATCTTTATCTTTTCAGTTCCCGTATTTCAGTTTTGTGATGCTCAGTTTGAGGTATTCTCTGGCTACCATTGGTGTAGAGTTGCAATCAGCTCGACTCGGGAAAAACCGGTATCCCTGTAGAGTGGTAGGTATTATTTGGGATATATATTACAACTCTCTCTCTCTCTCTTGGAAGGGTTGGATTATAATGTGATAATTGCTATGAATACCTGCAAATTGTTGTCCTGTTTTTATCTTGTGTGTACCAGCTAATTGTCAACCCAAAAGGTGCTTGCTAATTGATATTTTTGGTTAGGAATGTGGTGCTAAAGGCCCTCGACCAAGGTACCCTCGGGTATGGAAAACCAAAAAGAAGATAGGGACCATTTCAAAATCCCTAAAGCTCGTTGAATGTGTAAGCTCCACTATCCAGCTGTGTCAATGTCTAGTTCTAGGATAAAAGTGGCGGATGATTTCAAAAACGCTATTTAGGCTGACCTGATTACTAATCTACTGTTGCCTTTTTTTAAGGTGTTATTGTACTTGTGTTTTTCTTAAGAAATGCCCTCTTATTGACAAATCGTAAATAGATGAGGGTATTTGTAGTATTGGAAAATTGCTAGGATTTCTTTGGGATCAAGCTAAATCCCAGGGTATTTTCGTAAATAATTCCAACAAGAGGCAACTTTGTTCGATATGCTTGAATTTGTTCCCTTTGCTCGAGAATGATGAATTGAGTAAGAACTTGATTTATTTCTACTATCCTTACTAGATTAAGGGATTATCAAATGTGAAAGAGGAAGTGTATGGTGCTCTTGATTCCTTCATTGCCTGGGAATTAGAGTTTCCGTTGATTATAGTGAAGAAAGCTATAAAAAGTCTCGAGCATGAAAAGGAGTGGAAGAGGATAATTCAGGTACACACACACACACACACATCTTCATTGTATATCAAATTGTCGTCAATTTAGAGTGAATATACGTGATATTATCTTGCACATTGCATAAGACAGGTGACAAAATGGATGCTAAGCAAGGGACAAGGAGGAACAATGGGGAGCTATTACATTTTGCTGAATGCTTTGGCCAAGGATGGGCGGCTTGACGAGGCTGAGGAGCTTTGGCAAACATTGCTTTCTCAGAACTTGGAAAGTATGCCTCGTATGTTCTTCGAGAAAATGATTTCTGTGTACAGTCAAAATGAAATGCATGACAAGATGTTTGAGGTATAACATTCCCTGCTCTAAGAATGTTGCATATTATACTCTTTCCCTTTTTTTGTAATCTAACACTTCACTTCTTTCTCAATTGGAAATTGGCCTTGCTCTTTCTTTTTCTTTGTTTCTCCCAAACTGTGGAGGGCATTTCTTATTTATGATCTGGATTTAGATAGGAGCTGTCATAAAACATGTGATATATTTTAAGGTCATCTTGAATTGTAGTCTGATTCCTCATAGGAGTCACTATCTTCCAAAATTATAAATAAACCATTGACTTCAATTTCTCTTTCTGTAAAATTGCAACCTCAAGAGAGGTTATTAATTAAAATCCTCAGGAGGGTGTTAGTGTTGAAAGAAACCCGAGTTTATTTAAGTTGCTATAACTCAGGGGCAACCCGTTACTATTTTTGGGGATTAATTACACAATAACCTTCTGAGTTTTAGTCTTATTTAAAAAAAAAATGAACATTGATAATACATAATACATTGAGGTTTGCATTTAGTTTACAGGTTAGCCCGTTTTAACCCCTTTTGAGTGTGCACTTTTTGTAGCATAGGTAAAAGCATCTAGGGGTCTAATTTTAAGAGATTAGTGGAATTTTTGTAATTAAGCTAGAGACAAGGTGTATTTTCCATCTTTATCTTTTTTTACGGCTCATATTTTATTGCTCACACATACCGTGACCTGTAGATATTTGCGGACATGGAAGAGCTTGGAATCCAGCCGACTGTGCCAATAGTCACCATGGTCGGTGATGTTTTCAAGAAGCTCAACATGTTGGACAAATACAAGAGATTACGGAATAAATATCCCCCGCCCAAATGGGAATACCGGTACATCAAGGGTAAGCGCGTGAAAGTAAAGATGCAGCAGTATGATGATCAAAACGAGATTGACAGTAGTGAGGTAAGGGGTTCTGATGTGATCAATGGTGGTGAGTCATTGAAACTGCATGAAAATGGTGAGGTAAGTGATGGTGATTGTGCTAAGGAGGATAAATTGTATCTGCCTGAAAATATTGATTCCATTGTAACAGATTGACTATTTTGTCTTATCATTTGTGGCTTCCAATTTATTTTTACAGTTTTTTTTCTTTTTATTTCGTTTTTGCAAATTTGTTGCAGTTGTCCTGAATGCAATTAGTAATATTATGAGCTCTCTTCGTTAGTATTATGTTGTAAATTTGAAATTTTAATATGCTTACGAGTTCTACCTTATGTTCTGCACTCACTTTTTCTTTTTTCTTTCCCTATTTATATTGGACGTGTTTTATTGACTGGGCTTGTTTGTTTCATAGGATTAGCTAAGATTACGTGTGACGCCCCACTTTGATTTAACGAAAATCTATGACTTTTCAGAAAAATCAATTTAAATATATCAAAATTCATTTCAAACGTTTGTGGCATTTCTCAATTATTTCCAAATCATTTTCATATATACAATCATAACAATGACACCAACATAATCAACACCTATAAAGGGTTTCATCCCAAGTAATCAAACACCAACTCGGGCTTTCAAATTTTGAAGTAAAGACATCACAATGTCAAATACGGCATCTCCTCAACAATGTTTCAAAACATCAAATTATCCAGAGTTCCAAAATAACCATAATCATAAACAAGTCTCAGATAAAAGTGGAAGCAACACAAACAATGGTCTAGTCATCTAGACGGACCACCACTCGCGTTTAGTCATGCCAGCAACCTGTTTAACCTGCATCTGGGGGGGAGGGGGGACATGGTGGTGAGCACAAAAAACCACTTGCTCACCACTATGCATATAAATAACAAATAATATAGGACAAGCATGGTCACAACATTTATACTAATCAATCAAATATCCCATCTCCTATCCCAAGTTTGTTCTCATGTGCACACCTACACATAGACTTCTGTTGGTCCACGTATCGTATGCCTTCGCTTAGCCTTATAACCATGCCCTAAAGTTGGAGTCTCCCTTGATGGCCAAGGTTTCTTCCTTGGGCTTACATCAAGATACTGATCGCCGGCTGAGGGTCCATGCCTTGGTCTTACAGGCGACATATCCTTCACAAAGGACGAAAAGAGGATATTACCGTAACGAGGTCCGTTCAATAGTTACGGGGATAACCGTTCGACGACCAGTACAACTCACATCAAAGGCTATACATGGTTCACATGCAAACATTGATCATACCATACATATAACATCAATTACTCATGGCATAGATATTCATAAAATCAACCCACCTGGTAATCCGGAATGGCAAAACACAACAAGTAGCATAACGCAGGTCGAGGCTCGACTCCTCAAACACCTACATTTAAGCGATATAATACATCAATAATCTATCTCACTACTCGAATTTAATATAAAACTCATAATTAACCAAAATTAAGACTTAAGGGGTTTTAATCGAATTTTTCATGGACTTGAAACTCTCACATTTTGAAAAATAGGAATCGGAGAACCAAAATTCGAGTCTCGGGACTTAAAATATTGTTGTTATGTGATTGTTAACAACGATGTAATCTATGATTAAGGGAGTAATTTGGAAAGATTTGAACGTAAAGCATGTAAAATTGCATCAGCAATGGCCCCGGTCCGAGGTGAACCGAGGTGAAGAGCCGTGAAGGGCTTTTACGTGTTATGTGTTAAAGAGTTTACAGTTCGGTAACTTGAGAAAACCGAGATCCTTTTACAATTGTCATAGGTCCGCTATTTATAGTAGTTTTTGGGTTGAGGCATCGGGATCCGTGTGCTACTTTTTGGAATAAAGTAGCTTTTTAAGGGCGGTTCGAGGCAGAGGGTCCCACGCAAATGATGATAGATCTTGTGGAGTAGGAGGACCTCACGTAGACGCCTTGTCACCTGCTTAAGGAGATGACGACCTCGGTTCATGTTGTCCTCGGGGGATGTTGACCTCGGTAATCGTCGGTCACTTCGGTCTTTGGTGATTCAGACCGGTTCTCTGGTGTAGATTGGTGCGGTTATGATTCATGTCGGTTTAACTGTTAATTGCGTTTAATAAGATGCTCAAAACCTCTTAACAGCGTCTTGCCGAGTCGGATGATAAC